GGCAGGTGCCTTATTCAGTCATCCTAGTACACCAACGGTTTTATCCATGTAAGTCAACGTCCTTTTCTATTAACAGCCTAGATTTCTTAAAGTTATTTCGAAATGTTTTTCTCAGCCCTTAAAAATGCTTGCTTTATCAAGAAGTCAAGTATTTCTTGTAGGAGGTTTAAATACTATGCCTTAAAATCTTTATATATTATATGTGCTGGTTTTGGCTGGGGTAGAGGTAATTTTCTTCACAGTAGCTGGTGTGGGGCTGTGTTTTGGATTTGTGCTAGAAACAGTGTTGATAATGTGGGACATTTTAATTACTGCTGAGCAAGGCTTACACACAGTCAAGGCCTTTTCTGCTCCTCACGCCACCCCACCAGCAAGCAAGGAGTTGGGAGGGGACACAGCCAGGGCAGCTGAGCTCCACTGACCCAAGGGATATCCCACACCATACGATGTCATGCTGAGCATGTAAGGCTGGGGAGGAAGAAGTAAGGGGGAAGATATGGAGTTGTAGCATCTGTCTTCCCGAGTAACCATTATGCATTATGCTTTTTCTTTAACATTGAACTGTCTTTATCTCAACCCACAAGTTTTCTCACTTTTACTCGTCCCATTCTATCCCCTGTCCCACCCAGGGGGTCATGGGGTGAGCAGTTGGGTGGTGCTTAGTTGCTGTCTGGGGTTAAACCACAACAATATATATATGTATATATATTCTGAACCACCTGGAGTGTTTTTCCTGCTCCCCATCCTTGCCTGAGACACCTCTGCCTATGTTCTGAGGTCCACCTTGGTCGTACAGTTGTCTGTCTTCTCTCAGTGCACAGATCTGTTGGTTCCTCCTTCTGCATTAGCTTGCAGGGCTTGAGAGTGGCATGCCTTGTCAGCAGAAGAAAGGTACTTAGTGGGGTCAGCAGCAGCCCAAGGCAGAGCAAACACACTGAAGAGCATGAGAGGAACTGTAAGTGATTCTCTGCTTCCATCAGTTCTACTTGTGCAAGTGGCTGCTAGACATACTTCCCCCTGAAAATGCTGGCATCAGTGTTACCGTGTGGGTGAAGACCGTTATTTATAAAGGAGATAGATGGGATTTGTGGTGGGGCTACAGTCCACCATGGTGCAGAGCCCCAAGACCCCCATGCTAGCACTGAGCTAGCACTAAGCTGCACAGGGAGTCCTGAGCTGTAGTGCCATGTTTCTCCTGTCTCTCTGTCTGCCAGAGTATTTTTAATAAGAGATAATTTTCTAGCCTGAGTACAGCAAATGACAGTCCGGGTCTTATGGACGAGTTGGCACGCAGGAACAGTATTTCTGGCTCCAGAGTTAGCATGAGTGGGGCCAGCTCAGGTATCTCCGATGTAACCTACAGGTCTAAGTCCTTAGACTTACGCCCTGCATTCACAGTATAGTGCCATTGAGATGCTGTCCCCTGGAGGACAGGGAGCCATTGTCTCAGGTACCCAAACAGACAGACGTCAGTATCTCCTTCAAATTAAAGAAGGTGCAACCAATATTTCCATAAACATTCATACTCCCACTGAAAGCAAAATCTTGTAGTGTTACTCAGACAAAAAGTACATTTTGATTCCTGACTATGAACTGAGTAAAGGACACAAGACCTGCCCCTCTTAGATGGAATGGTGCCATCATGATACTGCAGGGGTTTCCTTTCCTCTTTTCTTTAGGGCTGCAGCTGAGCAGTTACTGAGTAACTGACGGGTATCAGCCTTGGTCGATGCACCACATATCAGATTGTTTAGGGATATCTCAAGTGCCTTGGATGCAGCAGGAACTATAAAAAGGCAGCAAGTCCAAGGCATCTGTGGGCTTTCTGCCCACAAGGATCACATGCAAATGTATGCTCTTTACCTTGTTTTTGGAGACTAGTGCTGATATTGAGACACCTTCTATGAAAACATTTTCCACAGTGCTTAGATTCATGCATGAAATCATCTTTATCCATTTGGAGGAGCAGTCTGATAAATTGCAGTGGTAATCTTTCACTGATGGGAGCTGAGAAGGCTCCGCAATACTTGCTCTGCAAGGCTTGCATCAGCATTTATCACTTATTCTGGGCCAGGATTTGTAGGCAGCCAACATGAGTGTCTTAATTTAACCAGACCAACATGTCTTAAACCTGTCTTAAGCTGTAGATGTTCCTAAATCCTTTGCTCTTGATAACTTTCTCATTCTGCCATCCATGGGCAGCATTAGCATCTTTCTCCCTGATATTCACATTCAGTTCTAATCAGATTATAAAAGTAAAACATACATAAATTCATATACAACATGTGAAAATACCTCTTTCCAGACTGTTTGGAAACACTCTGCCAAGTACTTTGATAACTTCTCAGTAAACTGCCACAGAAAAACAGAGAAAAGCACTTGAAGCCCTTTCCTCTGCATTGTTCTTGGTGTTAAAACACAGGAAGCTGTGGTCCAGCGTGGTCCCTGGCCCAGGGCAAATTCCCATTCACCCAAGGAGTATGGACATCGGCATTGGTAAAGCTCTGGGTACAAGAGAAGGGAAAATCCATCTGGGTACATCCCTGGCATGTTTGGGTCAGTGTGTTCCAGTGGTTTCTGACTGGCAACACTGTGAGTAACTACACTGAGTGATGTGAAGAGACCTACCATAGAGAACAGGCAAATGCCAAATTCTCAATCCTGTTTTGTGATGCAGGCTTGTGTACATAAGCAGGGTTGTGTGTATCCATGGTATTAACATATATAGAACAGATGATATGATTTTGGCTGTCTGGTCTAATTCCTTGCCAAGTTTCCAGTAGCTTAATCATGATCTAATTTGAAATAATTAAATCAGTTATGGTTTTTTTAGAACTGCTTTTTCATCTTTAGGACTCTGAATACCATCACTGCAGTTGTGACTAGAATTATTTTCATAATTAGCTATAATTTTAAGTAATCAAGTTTACAAAATTCTCCATAAACAAAAATCACCACAGCAGATTACTAACTGATGAGTTGTGCCATAAGGTGATATGGGAACCACGGGTCTAAACTTGCAAGCTCTAATAAAGTTGGCCTGTAAAGTTTAAATCCAGACTTGTATCTAGAATTTATTTTTTAAATCCATGTTACATCTTCCATCACACTCCTGGCTGACAAAGCTTCACCTAAAAGTGTTGAAAATCTAATCTGATTTTCAAGTGTGACCATTTATTATCTTAAACCAATACACAGCTTAAACATAGGCAGTATGAGGGAAAATTGTGGCTTGAGTGGAAATATAGGGACACATGTTTTGTATTTGGTTTGGTTTGTTAGAAAACATTAGGTTCTTGGTCTCTGCTCTATTCAAAAAACACAATAATAGCACATGATGGAAATTTACAATCCATCCCTTATTCTGTGTTTCTTGTACAAATTTCTTGTGAGTTTGAGAAGAAATAACAAATAAAATGCAAGATTGGACTATCCACTTTCCTGAAATCAATTGCTTCAAGTATCATCATATCTAAACAACCAAGACATAAATCTTTCTAATGAATGGACATGTGGAGACATACAAGCATAGGGCTTTCATTTTAAACTAAAGGAACACTCTGGCTTCAGCTGGTGAGAGCCTGGGTTTTGTTCATCAGATTTTTCTCATATTCTTAAAATTGTATTTGTATTTGGTTTCATTTGAGTATGTTTTCGATTTGTCCAAACAGCAGATGGCTATGATAAAGAGTCTGTATTTAACTTGGCACTTTCCATTCCACATTCCTTTACTATTCATAGCACAGCAGTCATACTCATCTCCAGTATACATAAAAGGAGGCAGCTCAACTTGCAGCTGCAGATCTCAGATGTTTGAGAATTTACAAACTTACAGCATAATTTTTTGTTAATGTTGAGAAAACCAGATGCTGATAAAATGCATGGATTTTCTTTTTTTCATACCTATCACTCTCATGAAATGAGAGCACTGGGACAGAAATTAAACCTCTGCCTGTGTTAAGGAACCTCTGCACTTGAAATGAGAGTATGTAGAGCCCGTGTTCATATGGGGAGAGTGGGACTAGACACAGCCAGAAAAATTTCATTTTGAAGACACGGTGCGGGATTTCGGTCTAAACTGTCAGTCAAGCAGCAGGAAGAATAAAATACTCATCTGAACAAGACAACTACTTAAAATGTATAAGAATAAAGGCATCTGTGCTAGCATAATTCCTTTTTATTACCAGGGCTTCACAAAGAAGAATTTGATCCTTTTGAGTATTTGTAAACACTGCATTTTTCCTCAGTTGCTAATAGATAGCAGAATATGTTAAATAAAGCCAATTTTCTAAATGTCTTTGAATGCTTTCTTTCAAATTATTTTGTCATTGACAGAAAGTATGATTTCTACTTGCTGTGTTTTCAAACAAACATAGTCAGTGATTATTCTTTTTTCTTACAGTTTCAAACATGCAACAGGCTTCTAAAAAGTAATCTCTCAAGGGGTTGTTGTATACAAGCTTGAACTGCAGAAATAGTTGAGGATTTTTTCCTGATAGTATCCTTCAGTTTGTGTGCTTTTCCAGACCCTATGGAAGAAGAATTTAATCTCAAAAATTAGAAAAGAAATTTTTTGGTACATAGATTAGATTTCCATAAGACTTAAAACCTGTCTATTTCTTTTTTAATAATTACAACTATGTATGACAAATGCTTATTCCTTAGAAATACAACTCCTCCTGC